CGTCTATTTGCTTGAATTCTTTTAGTTGTAGGTGTGGGTATGAGTGTGTGCGTTGTGTTGTGTGTGTGAGAGAGAGACCTACCTAGGATCAGGTTTGAACCACCTCCAACACACAGGATTTTCGCCATTCTGAATTACGAGGAACCTAGCTGGTAGCAGGTAACATATCCTCCCACTCGTTTTGTATAAAAAAATTCTCTGTGCGATGAAGGTGATATGATTAAAGACTCAAGTGAAGGAGGAACCGAAGGATCCATAAACATAATCATCATTAATTATTTGTATTCCCAAAAAGAAGATAATCCTCTGACAAGCATGATCCAGAAAAAGAAACATTGAATACCTAGGTCACATCCATTGAGTTTTGTAAAATTTCTATAAGCAATAATCTTTTGTAGTTACCTGCTGTATAGACATAAATTCAGGACTACTAGCGGAAAGGAAATTTATATTAAATCAAAGCTACACTAAAAGATGTATAAATATTTTCTGAAGTTAGTAAAAATGTATTAACTTATAAAGATGAAAAATTATATCAATTTGAATTCAATTTGTCAAGTAACATATTTTATTGTAATTTAACCAGTTATAAAATACAAAATTCAAAATAGAGAGTAATATATGGTATATATTAACAAGAATTGTTTAATTTTTAATTTGAAATTAGAAAATGAAAACATATGCAGATTTTGAGTATTTATTAATTCATGGTTTAACATTCACGAAAGTATATATTACCATAAAAAAAAAAAGAGAAAAAAAGTTAAATTCAGACAATTTACTTCAAGTTAATATATATAAATAATTATTTATTTCCTGTTAATTAAAAAAATAGCTTGATTTTTCATAACAACCAACTGGAAGACTATAAAACTTGCAAAACATTAATTGTATACCCCAATTTGAATATATTCACAGTGAAAAAAAGAAAAAAAAAAACAAAAAGCTTTAACTCAAAAGCAAGTGTATTCTACGCGTGCATATATATATATATATTTTTATTGGAATATCTGAGCTTTTACCTTGCTTATCCACTGAATCGGAATTTCAAGTTGGTAACCTGAGTGTTCTGAAGCAAATATCTGAACTTCATCACATCCGTGCACCCGTAATTGTTTCAATGATGGCCATTCGTTAATATGAATTTGAGGGACGAAGCCTTTCAGTTTGGGTAGCTTAGAAAGAATTATATGTGTCAATTCTGGAAATAGAAACTTTTCGACAGTTTCCACCAAATTAGTTGGCTGAGTGGTTATCTGAGCTTGTGGTTCATGCCTAGCACCAAATATCTCTTCTAGTGAATCACAATTCTGTATCTCCAGTGTTTCTAGCTTCCGACGTACTGTTTCCAGCATACTAAATGGGAAAATATTCAACAGCTTTTCACATGAATCCACAGTAAGAGAATTTAGTTGGCAACAAGAATTCACATCATGTTTGTCGTCCCATATCTTGGACCAATTCCCCATAAACTTGATTATCACCCGCTCTAATTTAGGGAATTCCACCTAAAAATTTTATCCAATTGCATTAGTAACTGTAATTCAGCTAGAATCAGAGAAAGGGAGCACATAAAAAGATGATAAAATAATAAATTTTTAGAATCTAATTTAAAATTTTAAGACCTTTATGAGGTGAAACTAATTGTAAATGAAAGGAAAAACACAAAGAAGATGTCACCTTTTCAACGAAAAGAGATGGTGTAGAAGTATTTTCCACATTTTCAGTACCGACTCCTTTGTCTCCTATAAGCGTCTTCAGCACAGCACACTTGCTTATGGTGAACCATCTAAGCTCGGAGAACTTAAATTTGGAGTAATTTCCATGACACAATCTTGCAAGTTTAGGAAGGTCTTCAAGTTCTAGGGTGTCCAGTTTAGAGAAGAAAATCTCACACATCGTTTCTTCGTCCACTAATTCATTTGAGCCGATTACCTGTTCCATCATCTTGCAGTCACAAATCTTGAGCACTATGAGTTGCTCAAAACTGTTAACCATAGAAGACAATAACAGATATTTCAAATTGCCACAATCCTTCACAAAAAGCTTTTCTAAAGAGATTTTTGGAATCGAAATTTGCCAGATTTGCTGAATGTCAATTGAAGACAGGCTTAAAATCTTCAACTTGGGAAACCCAACCTGCAAAGAGATTTTTAGTTGGAATAATAAATTTTTAGAACAAATCAAAATTATTATGAGGCTAAACTAATTGAGAACTAAAGGGAAAAAGGCCAAAGAAGAAAAATACCTTTTCATCAAAGAGAGGTAGTGTGTCCCTACTTTCTGCATGACAGAATCTTGTGAGCTTCGGAAGTTCTACGAATTCTATGCTGAGCAGTTCAGGGAAGAAAATTGTTTCTTGATTTGATTCTTTTGAATCTATTACCGCTTCCATCATTTCACAATCACAAATCTTGAGCATTGTGAGTTGCTTCAGACTCATAACCATAGAGGAAGTTAATAGATATTTTATTTTGCCACAACCTTCCACAGACAACTTTTTTAAATTCTGTATAGGAAGAGGGATTTTTGAATTCTGTATAGAAGAAGGAATTTCTGGAGTCCAAAGATCACAGATTTGTTGAATGTTAATTGAAGACAGTCTCAACAACTTGGGAAAATCAACCTTCAAAGAGATTCTTAGTTAGAATAAAACTTTTAGAATCAGTACAGAATCTATGAGGTGTAACTAACTGAAAAATAAGGGGGAAAACAAAGAAGAAATTACCTTCCCATAGGAGAGAGATGACATATAAGTATTTTCTACATTTTCATTATTGACAGCAGGAAGGCACTTGAATCTTGTGAGATTGGGAAGGTCTTCAAGTTCTAGGGTGTCCAGCTTCGGAAAGAAAATCTCGTACATCCTATCGTCTTCCTTTATTACCTCTTCCATCATCTTACAGTCAGAAATCTTGAGCACCCTGAGTTGTTCAAAACTCTTAACCATAGAGGATCTCAATAGATACTCCAAATTACCACAACTCTCCACGAACAACTTCTTTAAGTTTTTAACAGAAGCCGTTTGCTCACTTGAAATGTGCCAGATTTGCTTATAGTTAAGTGAAGATAGCCTCAAAAACTCCAAGTTGGGAAACTCAACCTGCAAATAGATTCTATCTTAAAGACAAAAAGACATTGCGAAAAGCTTATTTCTGTCAATTTTGATGAATGCCAATTGAAGATAACTTCAAGTTGGAAAACTCAGTCCGGTATAATCTCCTTTCATATAAATTTTTTATGCTTTGATTAAACTATTTTTTTGGCTCCTTAGATGATGAGCTATACAATGGGGATAACTCTTCCCTCCCGAAACCCCTCCCTACTTATCTCGTAATTCAACCTTGAGGTCTCAAATGTAAATATTTAAGCTCTTAACTATTGGGACTTCTCGTAGAGGGCAAGCTTTGATTAGACTAACAACAAGGTAAGCATAATCTCAAAGTAAAAATGTGAAATAACATGCAGTTATTGGATGATACATGTAAATAAAAAAAATGTTTCATTAACAATAATTATTGACAAGAACAATAATTTTATCATTTTTTAATATTCTCTATCACTAAAAATTTTAAATAATAATAACAAGAAGAAGTGAAAGTGTTTGTCCATTGGAACTGTAAAAATTTTAGTAGAAAAACACCTAAAACTAGGTCATTTCTATAAAATTCCATTGCACAAGTCTAAAATAAACATATTTTAGGGTATAAATGAAGAGTAGTTTAATATTTTTCTATGTGTTTTATTGAAATGATGTAGTTTTGAAATTTTTTTTGTTTAATTTTTTTACAGATTTAGCTTATAAACATTAGTGTACTATGATCAGAAAAATTCAACTTAGATTGGTTTGGTTCCGTTGTGATTGAATTAAACGGTTTTATACTTATTATGGAACAAACTAAATCTATAGATCTAATCCTCTGCATTGCCATATCGTTAATTAAGTATGTTGATCTACTTCGCCCAGCAATGAAAACCACAAGAGACTAATTTCAAGAAATAGAAGTAGTATAATGCAACAAATAAATCTAAAAATCTAATTATTAGTGTGCAAAATGGAAAGAAGATGCCAACAACCTAAATAACTTAGTGGCTTTCCGCTAGAAATAAGAGGTTCTGAATTTAAATTGCGTAACATGAGAGTGGAGAGAGTTAAGGAAGTGAGAGAATTGCCTCTTATTGTGCAAACCAAGATGTAAAAAAAAATGGAAATAATGTAATGACCATTCAACAAACTAAACCAAATAATCCCACAAAACTAAGTACTATAAACCTACAAAATAATGTATAATTCATAAATAAAATAGGGAGAAGAGAAAAATAATATTATTTAATTAAATTACTTTTTTAATTAATCTGGTTACGTCAATTGAAGCTAAAACCACAAACTGAACTAATGTTATCAATTGAAATTTTTTCAAAACCAATCCTTAATTTGTTTGGTTCTTTTTGAGTTGAATCAATTGGTTTTGAATTGAATATGAATGGCCCTATTTTAGATAATTATTTCTTTTTCATCCTTGGCTTCTTTTTCGAAGAAAGTTAGAATGCAATTTATTAAAGTTAGAATGCAATTTATTACATGCATTTATTTTTTTCATTTTAATTAATTAAATAGACTTAACAAATTTATCTAAATTTGTAGCCAAAATGCAATCTGTCCAATCTGTGAAAGGATGAGGACAGGTACATAGTTTCCAGATTTAAAGCCACAATATAAGGTAAATGAGGAAAACGTACCTGTTCATTAAATAGTGTCTGTGTGTTTGCAATGAATCCCTCCAATTTTGGGCAGTTCAACACTTGCAGTTCCTTCAATTTTTTGAATTCAATAGTACACTTTCCTGAGTAGAAATTGACAAAGTCTTTAAGGTCTTCTATCTCCAGAATGTTCAACTGAGGGAAAATCAACTTCTTTTTATCTTCTCCATTATTATCTGTACAAATGACCCCTTTCATTCTCCTGCATTTCCTTATTTCAAGGTGTTCCAGAACATATAGACCTTGAGCTATAGAAGATGAGAATATGTATTCCAACTTATCACATCCCTTAATGATCAATTTCTTCAGTTTACCAGCACTGAAGGATCCAAATTGCTGACCAGCACTGGAAGATGCAACCTGCATAATATACAATGATATTTTCTTAATAAATGCTTGTCATTTTGTTGGTTGAAAAAGAAAAAGGATGGGCATGGTAAAATTTGTAGAGATTAGGTATGTCTAACTAGAATACAAACGAGTAATGAAGAGGAGACGGCTTGCATGAGAACAAAAATGAAATAAAAGAAATTAATCAGACACCTGTTCTTCAAAAAGTGTCTTTCTCTGGCGACTACTGTTGAAGCCATTCAACTCTGGTAGGTCTTCTAATCTCAAGGACCACAGTTCCTTCCGTTCTTTTGTTGCTTGATTTTCAGTTTGTTGTTCTCTTGTTGCATCAACGTTGTCAATTCTGCCCCCTTGCTCCTCGTCATCAACAATCTCTTTCATGTTTTTGCACTCTGTAACTCTAATTTCTCGGAGTTGGAGAAGATTTTTGGCTATAGAGGAGGAGAACAAATTCTTTAGTTCATTGCAAATTTCAACCGTTATCCTTCTTAATTCGCTAAAACATGATTCTGTAATCGAACAATTGAATATTGTCATCATGTTTTCCAAATTACGAAGAGCTAAAACCTCCAATACGGGAAATGCAGGTTTTGTTGACAAACATTCAACTTTATGAGCATCTTGGATAGAGAGATACTTCAATTTTTGAAAACCTTCCTCATCTAAGTAATCAACAACACTATCAACATGACTCAACCCCTGTAGATGTAGTTCCTCCGTCATCTTTAGCAACTTGTTAACTGGATGCTCAGAATTAATATCTCCGTCTAGCTTTAGCTTCAATATTTTTGAACTTCCACAATAACTATCCCAGGAGTGCCACATATCTCCTTCGAAAATCTTGTATCTTGCCAAATTTTCAAAGAACAAGTCTCCTTTAGTTATGGGGGTATTGCAAATATTAATTCGTATCTCTACAGCAGTTAGCTTCGTTAATTGCCTAAACTCAAAAAGGCTAGCATTAATTTCCTCTTTCTGCCCCTTAACTCCCTCCGCCCATTGATCGAAGCTGTTTCTCATATATAGTTCTTCTAATCTGGACAAGCTTGACAAGATACCTGGTGGAATTACTTTGAGTTTGGTACAGTCACTCAAATCTAACAACTTTAGGTAAGCTAGTTGCCCTATCTGCCCGTCCAGCTCTTCGAGATCACATCCCACAAGGCTGAGGACTTGCAAATTCAATAGCTTCCCTATAATTGCGCCCATGTTTGCATCTCTTAACACACTTTGATCCAGACGCAAGGTATGAAGGTCATTTAGAAGGCAAATTGACTGAGGCGTTGACCAAGTTTTGGTCAAACCCAGGACTCTGAGCCCTCCAGTTCCTGTAAACAAGTCTGGTGGAATTGGTTTAGAAGGATCCTCTTTAGACAAATGAAAGAAAGTGAGCTGCGGACAGTTCAACCGATCTGTTGGAAGCTCACTAGTATCTGATAAATGCACCCATTTGATGCTCTCCATTTCCTCCCAGTTGTTCAGTCCAACTTCTCCAAAAGCAATTGATTTGGCAAATACCATGAGAAGATCATGCATATCAAAATGCATATCACCACCACTATCCAGCAACAAAGAAGAATATTTGAGTTTTGCCATCGAATTCAGTAATGCATCTCGTGCTTCCTCCACGGATTTGACTCCTGGGAATAAGTCCAAGCCTATGGTATATTTCAACAAATCTTGAACAGCTGCATTATGACCCATTAGACTGCAAAGCAGGAAAGTTAGTTGGAGTTCGGAGCTTTGCAAACCATCATAAATTAAATTGAAACGTGAATGAAGGCTTGGCTGGCTTTGTAGTTTTTGTAGAGCAGTCTTCCGCCTTAGTTTGCCACTTTTCAAGGCCTTTGCAAGTGTTGCAACAGCAATGGGCAAACCGTAACACCTCTTGCAAATCTCTTTTGCATAAAATGGCAAACTACAACTTTCAGTTCGGTAAGAAGCTATCTTCTTGAACAACATCCATGCATCTTCTTCTTCTAATGGTTTAATCTCAAATTGTCTTTCAGATAAATCAAAAAGAACGCTGCTATCTCTAGTAATCAGCAAAAGTTTGTAAGATAATAACCTGTTCTCGTTCTCATCTTCCAAAGGAAGTTTTTCATGCAACTTCCAATATATTTCTGGCTCCCAAATATCGTCCAAAATCAAGAGGACCTTCTTTTCTGTTAGCTTTCTTACCTTTCCTGGATTGGAAGCTTCCTGATCTGTAAGTTTATTAGAAACACCCAAGTCACGAGCAATTTCATCTTGGATTTTGGGGTTCCCCTTCACAGATGCCATAACAATCGCATCAAATAACTTCTGTTTCTGGGCTATTCTCTTCACTTCTCTGACGAGCATGGTCTTCCCCGTACCAGAATCTCCGTAAACCCTTATGGTGTTGATGCTAGGACATTGCACTGCCTCCAAAATCTCGACCAAAACAGCCTCCCTCGGCTTTAAGTACTCGAAACGGTCAACTGCCTCATTCTGATCTCCTCGTGGGATGTCCTCAAATGATCTACGAGCTTCTTGCACAAGTGCACCAATCTTCCTGCAACTCCACTTCGCCTTCTTGCTAAGTTGGTAAGGAGAGTTGGGATTAAGACACAGCATAAAGGAATAGTTGTGCTTCTCATGTTGTTCTCCATCATCAAGACCTACTAAGGTTTTTACCCAACCTAATGCCCGTGTTCGTTCCAACCAGTTGTTGAGTTGCCCTTCTTGCTCGCCATCACTGCCTCCGTAATACTTGCGATAGCGATGCACACAATCTTTCTCATCATCCAGGTCAGCATCTTGTTGACACAGAATCTTGAGTTTGGCCCGTAACTTATTCTGAGACATCCTGGACCAAATACATTCGCAAAAACTTTGTCAGCAAAATGACACAAATACTCCATGCTTTATAATTTATTTATTTCTTTCTTTCTTTTTCATTTTTCTTAGTTTTAACTTCAAAGGTTTTGGGAAGTTTAGTTGGTAAACAAACTACAGAGAAAACTATCAATGGAGAAGGCAGTTCAAAGAATGGAAGCAAGGCACGTAGCTACGTGACCACCGAAACTAAACGGAAAAGGCAAAATATGCAACCCTGGTTTCTGGTGGTTCAGAGATTCCTCGATTTTATGACTTGGAAAAGGATCTGTAAAAAATAGCCATAAGTACGAAGACGTATTTGGCCTTTTAATACTATAAATTAAGGTAAATAAGATGGCTAATTACCCTTTATCTCCTTTATTTTCAAAAGAGAAATGCTCTCTGCATGGGCAAGTGCTCGGTCCATGCTTGTTTTAGTACGATCTTATCTTATTTTGCTACTGTAGTTACATTATAATTTGTTGAAATTTTAAATAAATATGTGATATGCTTTTTAAAATTCTAATAAATATCCAACCCAATCAACTGTTTAAAATATTCAATAAATTCCTATAAAATTTTAAATAAATACTTAATAAACCTTTTAAAGAAAACTTATTAAAAAAATCGATGCCCAATTAGCTCAAATTATATGAAATTAACTTCAATATATAGTTTTATATTTGATTAAGGGCTGTTTGATATAATAGTTAAAATTCAATAAATACGAGAACAAATAGTGATAGTGGATGACAATTAGTAGATAAAGGTGGTAGGTAATGAATAACGGATGATGAATAGTATGTAATAAAAACTTAAATTGATATAACTATTTGATTATACAATATATAGCAGTTGTTAATTAACATAAAATAACTAATAA